TGTACTTTTAGGCATAGCAATGGTTTATGTATGTTTTCAAAACTCTTGAAACAAATCCTAAGTGCTGAAAATAAGTATTTTGCAAAAGACATTCTTGTAGTTTTTGCTATTTGTGCATATAAAGCAAAGCTTTCTAGTTTTTGAGATTCTGAATGAGCTAGATTTTTGTTCAGAATTCTGTCTTGTCCTGTGTGGAATATAATAAAAAAACTCACTTCAATAATTTAAGAATGGCATTGCTAATGAACACTACATATCCATTTACTATAATTTAGCTATTTCTAATTGGGGATGAACTTGGTCATTTATGATTTCAAAGTTCTACTAAGAAGATTGAAATGGGGCCAGTGCTACTATCATAGGAAAATAGTCTTTTAAAAATGATTCAGTGCAGAAAAACTTGAACTCATAAGTGGAAGAATATCTCAAATAAGTGACAGCGATACTTCACATCTATGTATGATAGCTCAAAATTTTTGTGGTTTTCTAAAAGGTACTTATGCTGCCCTCTCCTTTCTAGATCTTTTCTTTCTAGTATTTGGCCTCAATATTTGAATATTTAAGGACATGAAACTGCTACTCTACCTGTGTCCTTTGAAATTATATTCTTTCTTACATATTTGATGATGCATAATGTAGGAATTGATAATTTTACACTAATTTTTACCCTCCTTTCCAAGTTATTTATTTAATATTAACTTTTGCTCTCTTCCTATCAGATAAAACAGGAATAAACCTAAAATGAAGCTCTAATAATTAATTTACTTAGTAGCAAATACCCAAACAAAATTATAATAAATTTAGTATTTCAGAATATTTCCCACATGACATGTATCTTAACCTAAAGTTTATATTTATATAACACTTCAAATTTATTAACATTTTTAATATAATCTCTATGCCAAGAGACTCAGTGATAATTGCTGTGGAATTAAGAATGAATAAAATTTCGCTTAGCATTTTATTATAGCATGCCATCAAAAAGATAAGAGGTAATTTGTTAGAAAACTTATTTGAATTTAATTTATGGAGGTTCTATATGGCACACAGTGTACATATGTATATTGTTCCACCATGGATTAAGAAATAGTTTTGGGCCATTTGTAAAGACAGAAAACAAATTTACAAATTCTGAAGTTTAGCAGAAATATTTAAATGGGGAAAAATAGTGCACTCTAACTTGTAGAGAAGAGTAAGAGAGTAGACCATTTTTCCTTTTAAAGTTCTACCCACTGGAAGGATGTCACTTCCCTGCAGTCCTTCCTGGATGTCCTGGAGGGAACGGAGCACTGCAGCTTTTTACTCTCAGGTGGTAAATATATGTGGTGTAGAACCAGCTTTAAATTCAGCCCAAGTTTATACTCTGTCAATCCATAGTTGGTAAATCTCTGTGAGACCAAGTGTGCGGGGTGGAGCATGTGCGTGTGTGCAACTTGTGTAACTTATTTGTGCCTTCGGTCCCTCTTGGGCCCCTGCCACATGCATACTTCTGCAGTGTGATGATGGAATGTCGCTGTGTATATAGCCAATGAGGCAGATGACAACCAATTCCTGACAGGCAGCTCATCATTATTCAGGATGTTACATCATCATGTAGTGTTCAGCAGTTAAATTGCCAGTTTATATTAAGGCTCACTCATAGGCTGAGAGCTCTTTCTCAAAAGGAGAGTAGTCTTTTTGTGGGAGATGGCAGAGTTTTACTCCAAAATCATTAAGGCTTATGCTGTGATTTGCCTATACAGGCATGCCAAAGGCTACAAACAGAATCTCTCCATATCACTGACCTTTCACACATTTAGGCCATATGGTTTAATTGGCAGAGCAACATTCATAGAAGACCTATAGCAGAGTTTTGTCTCATTCTGGGTACCATTCAAAGCTATCAACTTTTCTGACTTCAAAGAGATTTAAATTTTTTTTCCTCATTGAGTTTATTAGTGCATTTTAGGTATACAGTACGGTTACATTCATCATTGGCATCTTGCACCTTTACATGGCAGGTCTTGGTTCTCATTTTTAAAGTTAAGTGAAAGAAATAATAAGAAACCACTAGAGATTTAAAAATGACACATGTTAAAGCAAATTACTTAACAACAAAGGAAAATGATACTAGAAGAAAGTTTGGATCCATACAAAAGAATGGAGAGAACCCAAAATGATCTATCCCTTTGTGAGTAAATGTAAAATACACTTAGCTCTTTAAAAATTCTTTTAAAAGTAATTTTCTGCTTAAAGAAAAAGAAAACAGCAAATATTTATTATGGGTTTATAGAATGGGCAATTTTAGCCAGTTTAAAAGAGTGGGAGATGCAAGAACAGTGTTTTAGTGTTTATGCAAAGTTATGTGATATTATTTTATGGTGGATTGGGTTGAACTACATATATATGTTTTACCATCTAAAATCTCACTGTTGGTGCCAATTGTCTTAATGGTTAGCTTGAATGAATAAGAGACTACAGTTGATTGGATAATGAAGATATGATACTCATCATGGGATTGATTCCCTAAAGTTCATAGGTGAATGTATTAAGCAATGAGCTCCATTGGAATAGGAACATAAGAAGCCAACTTCCCCTGAACAACATCAAATGGGCAGCTTTGCATTATCATATCCTGTATTATTGATATTTTCTTGCTGGAGAGGTTTGAAACTTTTACTCCTTTAAGAAATTAGTATCAGAGAAGTACATTAATTCCTGTGACTATATTAGACTATGCGATCTAGAAAACTTTGGAAATGCTTTAAAAATAGCAAGGCCAAAAAAAATGGAAATAAAGTATTTGGAAATGTGAAGGGGAGGAGTGGGTGAAGGGAGGACAGGGACAAGGGGAAAAAATGAGAACCAAGGCCTGTCATGTAAAGGTACAAGATCCCAGTAATGAATGTAACTGTACTGTATTCCTACACTTTACCAATAAACTCAATAAAAATAAAAAAAACAGCAAGCCCATAAATGTGGGCTGTTAAAGTCCTTTGAACTCACATTTATGACCAAATGTTATGAATATCTAATATGCAGCTCTAGCACTTAATGTTTACCTTGTTTGGTTTTTGTCTTCCTTTGGTCCCATTCTTTTCTACCCTCCTATTCTCCCATTTTAGAATGGGAATATTTACTTTCATCTTGGGATGAAGCAGCTTGCTTTTTAAATTTTACAGGGTATCACAGATAAGAATTGAGCCTCAAGGAGATTTTGACTTGGACTTTTAAACAATGCTGGAAATGTAGAGACTTTGGGGAAGATATTACTGTTTTAGGTCAGACAGGGAATAACCAAGCAGGTGTATACGAGATAGAACTATTGACTTGTTACTGTGTTTGTTTGGAGACCAAGTATGGTTTAAGGAGATGTGATTAGGTGTCAGATGACACAGGGTGGGCTTATACCACTTGACCTTAGCTGTCAACTTGATCATATTAAGAGATTCTTGAGAAGGTGACTAAGTCATGGACGTGAATGTGCTCCGAGGTGATGGGGTATAGTTGGAGGTGGGCCATGGAGAGTGTGCCTTTGGTAAATGTATCTCTTGCTGACACTCAATCCCTGTGTTTTCTTTCCGGACAAAATGAAGTGAAGAGCTTTACTTTAGCATCTTCTTCTGCCTTGTTGTTCCTGCCTCGGAGTCAATTCATGGATAGAAGCCTCTGAAATGAATCAAATTAAGCCTCTTCTCCATTATGCTCTTTGTATTTTGTTCCAATGACCAGAAAGGTGACACTGTGCAATAATGAAGCCAGCATAAATATATGCTAAGCCCTTGGAATGAAATGAGTATAACTGAAGAACTTTTTTAAATCTTAATTTTATTGATTTATTTTAAATGTATAAAATAATGAAAAATGATCTTTGTAACGCATACTGCTGCATCTTGAAATGTTAATGTTTGAGCATTTTGGGCAATTGCATTATTTCAGGTGTTATACATAGATGCATCAACAATATAATTAGTCAAAAATTAATTATTTGAATTGTTTTTATGTGCCCATTTATCATAATAAGAACTTTGTGTGAATATTTATATCGATAGCCCGAATCAGAAAAATATAATCGCAAGTTGCAATTGGTTATTACGTTTACATAATTATTATTTTATGTATGGTATTATTAAATTGTTTTGCCAGCCCCAAAAATGTAGGGATTCATTTCAAAATGTAAGAGGAAAGCATACTAAATGGGGCACATCAAAGAACAGATGTAAAAGAAGTCATTGAAAATGGAAAATTAAACCAGAAGAGACTGAGAGAACAATGGGTTTTCTCTATGAGATGCCACATTGAAAATTATGTCATAGATAATATAACAGATTGTGCAATTAATATGTTCTAGAAAATTTTGCATTGAAAGATTTTTAAATCACCAAGAAATACAATAATTTTCCATCCTAAAAATTAAACTAATGGTGGAATTATCTTTTAGTATTTTACTGCTGTTAAATAATATGAGTTAGAGATGAGACTTTTTATCTTGACAGGTGATGCTCCAGCTATTTTGACTCAAAATCTAGATACTTATCAGAATGTTAAATCAAGAGACTGGTATTTCTTCCTTTATTACTTGATTCCAATGTATTGTGCACACTAAAAATATTTGTGTTAGATTTCTGTAGCTGACTTTTTAAATTGTCAAGGACACAGGTATGAAAACTGCACAGTCTAGGGCCAGGGATTTAGCTCACCTCAGTGGTGGTGTACCTTCCTCACAATTGCAAGGTCCAGAGTTCAATCCCAGGTACCCCCCCAAAAAAAAATTGCACAGTCCATATGACAGATATTATAAATCAACAACAGCTTATGGAAATTTTAGGAGATTTAGATGAAAATGAATTTAATAATCTTGTGTTCTTTGCCAATTCATTCTAGTTCAGTATGGCAGAGGTCATTTTTTTTTTTTTTTTAGATTTACTTCTAATTGAAGATTTTCTTGAAACCCAAGGAATTTCGGCCAAATATATAGTTAATAATCAAAAACAGACAAACAAACAAGGAAATGTGTCTTATTTGTGTTTTCTTGCAGTTACCATATTACATATGAATGAGATCAATCTGAAGCTGAAGTTATATGTTTGTCTCCTAAAGAAACAGATATAAAATGTTTAAAAATTGGAATGAAATAAAATTTTACACATTTTTCAGACATAAATTAACAACAGATGATGATAGCAGAGATTTACAGTGCTACACACATCTATTTAGGATACAGAATCTACCAAACTGAGCAATTCACCAGAAAAAAAATCAAAATATCATAGCTACATATACTATTGAGTCTGATGTTAAAAAACACTGAGTTGACAGAATAATTAGTGAATTTTCTTATACAGATACAATTTCAAACCAGTCATCTTTCATTAAACATCAAATCAATTCTCAAAAAAAAATACATGGACCAGTTTGGTCTAATGGTTGTGAACATTGCAAAGAAATAACTTTAATATTTAATTCAGGTGGAAACCTGTTTATTTAGATAATTTGGTTATACTAATATATATTTTCACTGTAAATATTATGAAGCAGATACACAGGTCAAAATTTCTAAATAATATAGTATTTAAATAAAGATGGCCTTTTAAGAATAAAGGTCACACCAGATTTATGACAGTATTAAAATGTAAATTACCTTATTAGGCTTTTATGTAAATTGAAAGGATTGAAAGCACATTTAAATGAAATGAAAAAGGCATGACAGTTATAAAATCATCAAGAAAATGAAGTTCACAACTTTCTTCTTACTGTTTTTCATGTGAGTACTAGAAACAAAAATTATCTCTTAGGATCATGCTACATTTCTATTGGACAGAGTTTTACTAGAGGAACCAACAAAAATTTAAAATACAGAGATTTAAATATGAAAATAGTGGTCACAAAATCAAGTCATTAAAATGCTGAAACACACAGATGAAGAGACTAATATATTTTTATGAAATAAAACCCTTTAATACAAAATTTTCAAAAGCATGACATTTGGAGAACACTTGAGAGTAAAAATGGAAGGAAAGGAGAGAGAGGGAGTGAAGAAAGGAGGCACAGATAAGGTAAGAGGGGCAAAACACACGCAATGACAGTTAAGAAAAGCATGGGCAGCAGACAATAAAGACTATTTTGATATGTAAAAAAGACTGATTCTACCCCTACTGTTGTGCTAGATTATCGTCTACTAAGAGTTTCCAGAACACAATACAGGGATAGAGAAAACTGGAGAATATATAAATTTAGGAAATAGTTCTTTGAGTCCAGAAAGACGGAGTTACTTATAGTTTACACACACGGAGCTCAACAGAGACATAACTCAATAGATCTGCATAGGGTTTCATTTGGATAGTGAGCAGAGAACTGATTAGAGATTATTTTTGAGGGAACACTAATTAAGAAAACAAACATTGTGAAGCATAAGAGGTTGCAATACCAGGCTCTCAAAGATTCCTGGGGTAGTATCTCTTCCCACTAATTTGGAACACTTCAATTGCTGCTGGAAAATTGGGCAATGTGTATACAGAAGAGATTATGCAGCAGAAATGGTCAAGACACAAATTGGCCTTAGTTTAAACAGATTCTGACATGTTGCAGAAACTCTTAAAAGCCAGGAGGATGAAATCATTTCTAAGGAATTTATCTTTGAGAGAAAATAAATCTGAATGGAAGAAGGAAGAGGAGGAGGAGAAACCCAATGAAGCAAACTTAACATTGATTAGAACACAATAAAAAAGGACCAGGCATGACATGCAAAGAACCAAGAATGTTGTACCAGTTATCTAGAGAGTATTTTTTAAAATTCTATTTCTTGCTTTCAAACCTCATTAGAAAATCCAGCATAAAGTTGAATAGGAGTGATCATAATGATTGTAATTGTCTTGTTTTGGATCCAATGGGTAGAACATTCTTTGGTCATTAAACAAAAAGACAACTTTAGGTTTATTTTTGTTGTTGTTTTGATGCTCTTTACTTGTTTGAAAAATTTCCTTATATTAGTTTTTTTATAGTCTTTATCAAGAGTTCTGAATTTTTCAAGTCTTTTTCTATTTCTAATGAGATGATTGTGTGGTTCTGGTTTTATTCTGTTAGTATAGAATATTAATTTATATCTAAGATTTCTGATTATTTCAAGGTGAAGAACAAAATTATTCAACTTGACGTGGGATATTCTACCTAGACTGATTTCCATAGGTCATTCCAGTTTGACTCTGTTCCTCTTGCCCTTCTCTTCTCTGTTCTCCAGTCATATTGGCCTTCGTTTAGTAGGTCAAAGTGCTCTCTCCTTTTCTCGCTATAGAATTTTTTAAATTCACTTTTCATTCTGGCCAGAAAGCATCTCTCATTTCTCCCCATTCCTCTGATATTTCTATTTAACTTAAATTTGTCCTTCACATCTTTTCTTAATCATTTCTAATTGAAAGAGGTCAGTTTCTCTATCATAAATTCCCCATGTACCATGTACATCCATAGCATTTGCTTCAATTTGTGCAATTTTAGGGTGTCTTACTGTTAATGTATAAGTTTTATTTAATAAACATTACACTACTGTATCATGTTGTATGTCAGGTAATGAAAGTTGTATACAAACATACTTAAAATAATCCTGAATTCCAATATATATACAACTTCAAGGATTTCAGATAAGAAGTTGTGGGATTTCAATAGTTTCTTTATAAGTATTTGTGGATTAATTAATAAAAAATTAGTCAAGCATAATGTCATGCATCAAAATTAGTTTATAATTCAGATAATCTGAATTCTAACTGTGCCTGTGTGACTAATTACTTCAGCAACCTTATTTTCTTTTATAATTTTTATATATTATTTTTATATTATTTCTATCTTCTTTTTATATTATTTTCTTTTATATTATTTTTGTTCTTTGAAGATTCCTCTGGCTATTAATTTTATGAGTTTATATTTAGTTTAGAAAACTTTAAAGCAGAAAATTGGGTGCCACACACACACAAAAAAAACAATCTTAAATGTACATCTAACTTTCCAGTTATGATTGGAAATAATTTTCTTTTTCATTTTTAGAGTTTTAGTAGCAAACTGAAGAAAATATGGAAATTCAAGCATCTAGTTCTACCAAATGTTATATTATGGAAATAACAAAGAAGGATAAAATTTTCACTGTCCACATAAAGTATGAGGCTAGTTCAATATCTGATGAATTATGCATCTATAGCTAAACTGAGAGTAAATGGAGCTAAAATGCTTTGGTGAATGCTAATTTAACTATAAACTCATATATGGTTCATTGTGTCAGTTGGAATAACTGGAGGTCATTTTAAAGTTATCTTTCTGTTTATAATATTTTCCATGGAAAAAAGCCATGATCAACTTTTGTTCTCACTTTTATCTATGTTTATATGCTATTAATTCTTTTTTAAGTTAAATATAAGTTTTATAGGCTTCAATATGTTATATTTATTCTTTTTGATAAATTGCTATTAATTTTTAATATAATAAAAGTAATGAATTATTAGTAAAAGTTGAACATTGTATTAAAAAATAAACAAATAAATTTAAAATTTTCCATGAACTATTTTAACATTTCATGTATACTATTCTCAACAAAAGTACCCAATGTTGAGGATTCTATTAAAAACAATAAACTGAAATTTTAAAATTTTCTATGCATTATTTAAACATTTCATCTATACTATTCTCAAAAGAAAGCCATATCATAAGTGCTACTGTTAATGACCGCTTTTACGGAAGATTGAAGAGAGATATTACTGACCCAGGATCAGTTACTTATTGGACAGAGTCATGACACTGAGCTCATTTCCTTCTGACATCAAAATCTATGCTTAGTAAATACATTTTATAGCCTTATTCTGTAGCACTATCTCAAGAACCCTTAAAATGTTTAGAATACCTGTTTATTTCCTTGTTCACAGTACTTTATCTTGACAAATACATATAGTAGTTCTGTATAATTTTCATAGTTTAGGAAACTAGTCATTCAATTTTACCTGGTACTAAAATACTAATATAGAATATTTTGATTTCGTGGATTTAATGTTTAAGTATTTATAAAATATGCTTGAAACATTTTGCTGAGCCAAATATATCAGATCACACTAGGAAATGCAAACCTCGTGGAAGTAAATAATGTATACTAATCATCCTCTTTTGTATTTCTGACAGATGGTGTCATATTATCTGTCAAATTAAACTCATGAATGCAGTTTTTATTTTTAATTATGTACATAATGATAACTTCTTCATGTTTTCTTTTTGATATTGTTAAGTTAAATTTTCCTTCTCTTCCAATACTTGAGGTATATGGATTATTGTTGTTAAAAAATTCTAAGTTCAGCATCAGAAAGCAAAAATACTCACTAAATACATCAATAATCAGTAAAAGGCTTTATAAGCATTGCTACATTTTTTATTTGAATGGTAAGATTTTGTGTGATGCCTTTCAGTCTGAAGTGATTAGATTAAAAATTCAATAAATAAAGATCCTGATTCTATAAAGTACAGCAACTAGATGCTGATGTATTTGTTAAGTAATATTTTGTGGGAATGAGCAAAATTAAATATTTAACAGATTTATAATTTTTCTATTCAGGTAATGAGATGATGCTAATGTAATTAATAATGGAATAGACCTGTGTCAATTTTTATGTATCTGTGAAATATTGCATTATGCATGCCCTAAATAATTTTGTGTGCTTGGAATAGTAAATTCATATGAGTACTCTGATCTTACTTTTAGTCCTTTGAATATGTTTCATACTGTCTTAATGTTTTCACTAATCGGCATGTAAGAAGCATTAACTTTATGACAATTTCCTTCAATGAAAATGTGTTTCTTAATTATTTTTGAAGTGTTCCTAACTGTATTAGTCAGCTTTCCCATTGCTGGGATATAATATCTAACATCTACACCTTAAAAGAGAGGTTTCACTTGGCTCATGGTTCAGTGAATTTAGTCATGGTCTGCTGTCTCCAAGGCAGAAATATCATGGTAGATATTAGTTGTGCAGCAGAGCTGTTAAATTTATGGCAGCTAGAAAGCAGAACAGGGAAATAGTGTTGGAGAAGGGTGAGTTCACATTTCCATGACCCACCTGGAAGCACCCATGAGCATGCTTTACTAATTTTCTAGGTGTTTTTGATTCAATGAAGCTGACAAATCAAGACTATGGTCACAGTACATACCTTGTCAACTTTATTTATTTATTTTTTGGTACCAGTGATCGAACTTGGGTCTTTGCGCTTGCAAGGCAGGCAGTGGAACCACTGAGCTAAATCCCTGGCCTCTACCTTGTCAACTTTAAACCTAAACATATCTCCTTAAGCCATACTTAAACTCCTAAAATGTATATAATAATTGCAATTTCACAATGCTGCCTTATACAGTACAGCTGTCCTAGTATAGCCAGAAACATAATAATCCCTCCTCAACAATTAAAGCACTTTTTAAAAGCCCGAGTTCAAGTCTCTTCTGAAGTTCAAAGTGAACTCTTTTCTGAAAACTCCTGTAAAAATAACTCCATAATCCCAGAGTATATGGAAAATGGTAAATATTTCCATAACAAAGGGGAGAAGTAAAGGGTAGAAAAAGGTCAGACCAGAGCCAGACAGAAACCCAGCATGGACCACATAAAATCCTGAAGCTCTGCATTTGGCACTCAAGGTAGTAAAATGTGAGTTCCAAAGTACTTGGATGGCCCAATCCCTCTGGTCTTCTCAGTTGAAGCCCACAAAGCCTTCCTCTTCAGCTGGCTGTACTCAAAGCCTGCAGCTTTCCTTGGCAGGCCTTTCACATCTCAGGCATCTCCAATATTCTACTGTCTGTACTGAATCTTTGGTTTCATTCCCATAGTTTCATACACTGTCCTCTCTGCAGCTCCTTCTATGACCTTTACAGTCTTCACTCAAAATCTAGGGTAAGCCTCTCTGATGCCATAACTCTTGCATTCTGCATGCCAGTAAAACCAGTATAATGTAAGCAATGCTGAGGTCTGATGTAAGTGGAAGCAGTGGCCAGCTCCTTGAGACTATTGCTATAGCAGCCTCTGAGTGTTTGAAATGCTGAACATAGTGAAATGAATCCAACAGAAGCAATTCCTTAGGAGGCCCCACTCAAGCCGGTTTCCTGAGGGCTTTCTTCTCAAATGAAACATTGACACTTTTGCACCCCTAGAGTGGGTGGGGTCTTCATTCTTTCAGAGGTACCCTTAAGACATCTTTTCTCTTGTATCTGTACAAAGTACTTGGTTTCTTTTTAAGGGCACTAGCTAAAGTGGCCACATTTTCTTTTTCCCCTATTTTATGTATGGTTTCTTCTAGGCCAAAATTAAGTTTTTCAAATTTTTCTACCCTTTCACTATAAATCCAACTAAAAGCAGCCAGTAGTACCCATGCCACAGCCTGAACATTGGGCACTTTGAAATGTCTTTCTTTGGATTAGTTTGTCTACCACCCTAATCTCAGTCACCTAAATATCAGGACATGAACAAAATATAGATAAATGTTTTTTCAGAGTGTAGCATAATAATTGCCAGTGGAATCCTTGTTCCCTCCTGAAACCTTCTAAGGCTGGCCTTTGTTGTCTGTCTTTCAATCAGCATCTTGTCTTCAGAGATTTGACTGGAATTACCCATCAGGCTCTGTCTGCTGAGAGCATTCTATGGTTTCTCAAACCTGCTTCTTTAAAATTTTCATAACCGCTCTCAAGCCAGTCTTAAATGCTTTGAAATCATGTTCATGCATAGTCACAGAAATGACTCTACTTTCCCATCACTACGGCACAATGCCTAACACCTACAACCTAAAGTAGTAGAGTTCATTGTTCAGGAATTGGGTTATGCTGTTTTCAAGGCAGAAATACCATAGTAGAAGCACATAGTGGAGCAAAGAAGTTCAGTTTGTGTTGACTAGTAAGTAGAGCAGGGGAATGATTAGTTCTGGAGAAAAATGGACTGAGGACCATGTATAACACTCAAGATCATACCTCCACGACCCACCCAGGTACATCCAGAGGCATGCTTTCTTAATCTGCTAGGCATTTCTTAATCCAGTGATACTCAAGATTCATAATTAATGGTCACAATTGTATCCATTTATAAAAAAATGAAAAGAGTGTTTGATTTAGACCATATATACCTCAAATTGCAGCCTCAAATTCATCTTTCAGGTCAACATTCTCAACTGAGTTGAGAATTTCATAATTATTATACATTTCCTGCCCTAAATTCAAAATATTCTTCAAACTATTTCAGATTTCTAACCCCTACTTACCTTGAAAAGTAGATCAATGGGGACTTTGTATTGCTAAGTCCAAAAAAAAAAGGGTAGTTTTTGTCATTTCCTCCTTTAGCATATAGTGCTTTATATTCTCTACTGATCTCATCCAGTCTATCGTTAATGCTATTTCCCTTTTCATCTTTGGTACTGAGGATCGAACTTGGGACCTTTTGCCTGTTAGGCAGGCCATGGAACCACTGAGCTAAATTGCCAGCCTTCTTCAATGCTATTTCTAATTCAAATTCATCTTTACTTTTCCCTGCAAAAATATACTTGGCCTATTAGTTGAATCTTTAGTCATATTTTCAATTTGAAACTTGGATATCATCTTTTTAAAAAAATAGTTAACATATAAAAATTGAATTGTACGTATTTATCATACATGATTTGTAACAAAAATATAACAATGTCTCATTCTCCCACAAAAAAAGATTTAAAGCTTACTACAATATAGTAATAGTCTTCTCATATAATTAAGAGCTCACATTTATTAAGAATATAATATATTTAACCTATGCCCATAATCTAATCCTCATAATCAAAAAGTTTTATTTTTTGCTTATTTGAATGCTTTATCATGCTTCAAATAGTATATTTCATCAAGAATATTAAAAAAATCTCTTTCCTTCCTTCTTCATTGCCATCAGTTCTTTCTGTCCTTATTCTGATTAAGTTGATCGTATCAAGATCATTGATGGTGTTTATGCTATGAGATCTGCAAGAAATTTATTTTACTTGAAAAATACATATATATTTTTAATCACACCCCCTTACCTGAAAATATTTAACAAATGACATAATCTACTATCCATGTACTCCTATTGATTCAAAATTCTCCTCACTAAATCATTATACTTGAATTTCTCCTTTCTATGGATACTTAATTTTAATTTTAATTTTTTTGGTATGGGGATTGAATTTGGGACTTTGCACTTTCAATGGAGGAGGCAGAATCACTGAACTAAATCTCTGACCCCCAATTTTTAGTTATTTTTATTGTTTTCATATTCTTATCTGATCTGTGTATGATATAATAGTACATTCATTTGCATCTGTTTCCTTACTTCTCTGTGTTCCACTCCTCCTTAGATGTGTTCCCTTCTGTACACTGAGTATGGAGTACAAGAAGTGATCAACATATATGGTCAATATGTAACTTTTCAAAAATACACTAAAAGACATATTGCCCTTACTCTACCTCGAAACATTTTCCATCACTTCAGATAAAATTATCCCATCATTCTTGGAACTTTTATACTCAGTCTAGAAGTCCTCTTTCATAAGTGTCTTTAAGAGATGTGATCAACTATATGGTGAATGTTACTTCTGAGTATCATCATGAATGGCAGGCTCATAAAAATATTATGATGAGGCCGGAAATTTAGCTCAGTGGTTCCAGCACCTGCCTTGCAAGCACAAGGACTAAGTTTGATCCCCAGCACAAAAAAAAAAAAAAGAAAAAAAGAAAAAGAAAAAAAAATTATGATGTGTGTTCATTCACCTCACTCACTGGTTTTTGCACCATTTAAATTTTGGCTCTTCCCTAAATCCAAAGTGAATGTGAAAGCTAAACTATTAAAATTTATTCAGAATAGTGAGGCCCATGACAGTGTAACTAAAGATATGAAAGAAGATTTCTGGAACTGCTTCAGAAAATTAAAACAATGATTATTTTTGAAACAAGGAGAGGTGTTTTGAGGGGAGATTAATGGCAATGTGTCTTTCACAGAAACCAGTTTTTAAAATTTAAGCATTCATTCTACTTTTTGCTCACATGTCATGTGTGTGTGTGTCAGAGATTTCTCAAGTAATTTTATTTGCATATTCAAGAAACTTCCTGACATTTTCACCTCAATATGATGCAAATATATAAAATGGAACCATTCATTTGTCTCTATTCATTTCTTCCTTAATGTTTTTTCAGCATTATGAATTGAACATAATAATATTGCTCTTATATTCCATTTATTCAATCAAAAGACGAGGGCTGCATATCTAAAATAAATATCAGGGCATACTAGGCACTTCTTATACGAGGGAGACTAACCAAATAAAAGTTACCACCTTTAAAAAGATGTTAAGGTGACTGTCACTAGAACCCAACTCTAGAAAATGTGTTATGTGATTAGTAAGTGCAAAAAATGTAGATAGAAAAGCAATGAGTGGCTTTATGTACAGGAGTGACATGACCAGAATGAAATCTTACATTTTCTGGTCTGCTCTTCAGAAAGTAGTCTTCAGAACATAGTGACTGGGTGAGTATGGAGAGGGAGGCCTGCAAAAGACTATTAGAAAGACAAATTATTTGGCTTGATAGGACACATTTTGGTACTTTAGTTTACAATAGTGATCATGGGCATGGAAAGAAGTTGATATAATTTGGTGGTAAAATATAAATCATTTGGTGAGAAATACACAATACCTGCTCTAATAATTTAATCACATTTGCCTCTGGGATTTAAATGCATTTCTGTAGAAGCTAGAAGAGTAGGTATTTCATATAAACTGAATAGTTGAATGGATAGATGGGTTAATGGGTGCATGGATGGCTGAATATATGAACGCATGCATCAGTGAAGTAGGTTAATTTGACTGAAAGGAATCTAGATAATTTTTCCATTAAATTATGTGTTGGTTTAAGCATTTATAGCACTAGATACTCACACATAAAGTTGTTTGCTGAAATTTTTTTCAGATACTCATTTTGGTAACTTTATAGATTCTTGAAGGATTTTCTGTTTTCAGAGAAAGGCCTTTGGGAAACTTTGTAATTTAAAAAGGCAACAGTCACCTTCAATGAAAATTCCGCGTCTACTCACCAAATTTGTAATACAAGTGACTAAAGTTAGGATGTCAAACTCAATGACAAACAAAAACAGGCATGCATTAGTCTCCTTTTCTAATAAATAGGCAAAGGGAATGTCACCCAAGTTGGTTCCCATAACATATGTGCAACTTGTAACCAGTTTGTTCTAAAATTTTACATTATTAATAAAAAATTATACTCAGGGTCGGAGATGTAACTCAGAGATGCCATCGCCTACCTTGCAAGCACAAGGTTGGGAGTTTAATCCCCAGTACCCAACAAACAAGTAAACAAACAAATTATCCTTTTATTATGGAGTGACAAAATAACTTTTTTTTGTTTGTTCCCAGGATTGAACTTGGGACCTTGCTCTTGCCGGGCAGGTGGCGGAACCACTGAACTAAATCACCCACTCCAAAATAACACTTTAAACAAACATCTAAATGGGTTAAATTGATTTTTGTATGATAGAGTTGTCATTTTTGTCTTAGGACATCTATGATTTTAGGCCAAAAGGCAATATTATTGAGGCAGTATACTATGTATTGTGACAGAGTTTTCAATATGTTAGTGAGAAAAAATTCCAGTGATAAGAATTACTAAGCATTCATTTTGATGTGCATGTAAATAGTCATACTTTAAAATGTTAGTATCTATTCCATACCATAATTCTGATTTCTTGCATGCAAATGTTGTGAAAGTTCTATTTTCATGTTCAGCACTACCATGATCCTTAAAGAGAAGCAAAATTATTGATGTAATTTAAATAGTACATCTGTTTTGTCTAATTCCAGAGTGTCGTATGATAGTGTTTCAATAATATACTTTCAATTGAGTGCTGGGTTATATTTAGATAACAAAAGCTGTAGAAGAAACTCCACAAAACAGAAATGCACATGTGTGCTTTATTACTGTTGAACAGATACACTCTAACTTAAAACAAGCTTGCATATGCCAAGGAAATCATGTTCAAAGAAATCCTTCACTATATATTTTCTTGTGTATAGTCTTTTATTTATTTATTTATTTAGGTCCAACAGGAGATTTTACTAGGGAAGGCAAGTCAGGGAGAGAGGAGAGAAGGAAGAGAGAGAGGAGAGACAGGACAGAGAGACAGGAAAGAGAAGGAGAGAAGGAGAGAGAGGAACAAAGAGATGAAGGTCCTTTTATTGATTTTGGGCTGGGCGATTGCTTATTTATGAGGAATGGGCTACCTTTAACCTATCACAGGCCGGGTTAAGATTTTCCTTAAAAACCCTACATACTTTCTCCACCTCAGGCTCAATATCCCTCCCTCGTTCTAGCTTGGATGGACTAGTCTTTTATATTTCAAGCAGTTTTGAGTTTGCATTTTTAAACACTATATCATATAGAAACTAAAATTCTTATATCTTATTTAAAGCTGAATAGTCATTCATTAGAACAACCTAGAAATACAGTAAGTAATTAGGATAATAGGCTCTGAATATTGTGTATAATATGCTTTGTACCAGTTTCCATGAAAAATTCAACAGGTCCTGACTCCTGTCCATTATCATTATATAATCTAGATAATCAATTAGAGTTGTGGGCTGCAAGAAATGAAACTATCCACTTGAAATTCCTGAAAGGCATACTGTTAACATTTTTAAAAGCACTATTTCCACTGGTTTTCAAAACAAGCATGTTTTATCAACAGCCCTCACAATCACAGTTAAAAATCAATGTTCTTCCTGTTACCTGCTGATAATACCTATAATCATCCTTGATTGTTTATATTCCTTATCCAAACCTTCAGGAAAGTACAGTGAGTTTTAAAATATGATCATGTTTTGGTTATTCACTACTCATACTACTTACTACCCATCAATGAGAGCTACCATAATCTTTCCTCTAATTGATTGCAAAAACTTTCTAAATGTTTCCACTGTTTCTAACTATAGCTTCTTATTTATTGTGAACTTCTAGTCTAGTATCCAGATATATTCTGAATGAATATTTAATGCTTATGTGCAATCATGACACTCAAATCTGAAGAGAACACTACATTGTAGAAATACTGCGTCATTCACAATAAACAAAGAATCTTTCCAGGATCTAGAAGGAACTCTGTCTTGTCCCTCATGTTTTCCAGCCTTCCACTGTTCTGCTCCATACCCGATGACTTAGCTCCTGGATGCTACTCTAAATTTTTAAGAACACCCTGGCCTTCGCAGTGCTGCTCTTCTGTCTACAGCTACTTTCTCCCACATATGTTTGGCTAAATTATCTTCAAGATTTTCTCAATTTCTCAATAATAATTTTCCCTAGATACATTTTCCTTGACTACCCAAATACTACTGCAAATTGTGGTTCTTACCCGTTTAGCCTCACCATGTGTGTGTCTCCTAATTCTTTTCACTTTGCTCTATTCTTTATATTTTTTGTAGTTTTGGATTGAAAATCAGCAGTAGTTTTATAATTCTAACTCTTGTTTCATAGTTTATCATAGGCAGCCAAAAAGGAAGCTGGAAATCTCTAATTGGAATCTTACTAGCAAAACAGAAAGATTATTTACCATTGTTATTTCCTATTTCCGATGAATTACAATTCTGTCTGGCTAAGGAGAGAGGAACAGAAAGAATGGTAGTCTCACTAAGTGAAAAGATGGGAAATAGCTAAGATGGCCTCCATTTGCAGAAGAGAATAGGAGAGATTAGGATGCCACACATAGGAAGGGTTTCAGAAATTACTAAAAATTTGTAGATGTAGCCCAAATTCAATAAAACTTTACTTTAGCTGGCTGGCAAAATTCCTAATTTCTTGTCAACCTTTAAAAACTATGTATTTCCTTTTTAAATTATCACAAGTACTTTGTGTTATTGTTACTTATGTTAAGGTTTTACCTTCTTGACATTCTATAAAAATTTTAAAGGCAAATGGCAATATTCAGTTTTGTATCCCCAAAAACAACCTAGATACTTATTGAGTAACAAGAGTGATAAAAGAAAAAGAATATATATTGGATATAAAGTTATTCTGTTTTATCTTTATATGTAAACAAAATCATTTAGAATTTGAAATTGTGAATACATACTATAATTTTGTTTTTTTTTTTGCTCTTTTTAAGACAGGGTGTCATGATGTAGTTCAGGTTGGTCCTGAACTCACTATGTAGCCTGTGCTGGCCTTGAGTTCCTGGCCATCCTCTTACCTCAGCATCTGCAGTACTGGGATTACAGACATGGGTCACCATGCTTGGCTATTACCACTTTTAGTAACAGTTAATTCTCATTTTTTTCTGTTAAAAATTGTGACCACATTATAATATGTTTGAAATCTAATTTGTATTAGGTATACCCCTTAATAGTGAAAATCTGGTAGTAGATTCATTCTTTACAGCTAATTTTCCTACAAAGCTCCTTATGAAGTGTAATATATGGTTTTTAAAGCAAAAGATTAGTTTCTGGATTTAGAATTTGTAAGGATCTAAACTTAAGAATTTTATCCTCTCTTCTATATATGATATTAACAAAAATATTTTTAGTTTAAACTGACAGCTATATAAATTAGGTAATTTCTAACATCTTTATTTACTATTTGTTGTAGTCTGGGTTTTGGTGAGAGAATATATTTACTACAGGACACATATTATATAGGATTATTTTATGATAATTATCCAAAAACCCAAATGCAGAGGAATGCAAGAGATTAACCACACAGTAGAGGCGCAAAGACTCCAGCTAGGGGCCTGGATCCCAGCAATGTCCCATACAAGTCCAGCTAAAGGCTTAGAGTTCAAGGCAATGTTTTCCATGAGTCCAGCCAGTGGTTTAGAGCCCATAGCAATGTCTCATGGTTGTCCATTTTGAGTATCTGGACTGGAAAGGCCCAAAGGCCAAGGGTGGAAGCCAGAAGACCTATGCCAGTGAGATTAAGGATTTGTTGCACCAGTCTGAGGGATCCACATAGGAGTGAGGAAGTGATGTTCATGGTGAAGATCAGAGCTCCTGTTACTGATGAAAAGAGCAGCCATTCCCAGTGACAGGGAAGTCCCTGAGCTCCTCCTACAGTGAGAACAGCCTAGTTCACATCAGGAAAACCATCAGGACCAAGCTTCTCCTAGAAAGTCAACAAGCCAAGATCTTCCCCTGCGGTTCTCTTTATTTATATCTATTGGTAAAAACCTTCAGGTGATCCTCCATGCCCAGACCACACTGATTCAGTTCATCTGGGTGCTGCAAGTTGACCATTAGTTAATCAATTATACTATTTAAGTGTAAAATATGGTGATTATTTAATCAAACACTAATCCTCATTCATTACCCTCTTTAGTAGTCAGTAGAAATGGAAACAAGCTATAAAATGTAGTGTATCTTAGAACTCACTAAGATTTCACCATAAAAATCTACATTATATTCTTAAACTCTGTAGAATTTCTATTTTACTTTACACAAATCTAAGATTAAGAAACAGATAGAAAATATCTTTTGTGGGGTGAAAATTTTAGCCCACTGGTA